GGGATGACTCGAGCTCGAGCCACTTAATATCGTGCCATTTTCAATTCCGTAGACTTGAGATCCCTCCGCAAGCTCGTCAACCCTGAACCCTCCCCATGTCAGTCGCCGGCGATGGTAATAATTTAATAATTTAATTTATACAAATTTCTAATAGTCGTGGTGTCGGGACGGGAGTTTTCCTTCCCGTATACATGCATGGGTGTGTGTCCCGTACGAGCTTTTTAACAACATGTCGTAACCTACTCTAAATTTTTAAATTTGGATCTTTCCATTCATTTTGTCCATCCATCGTGCCTTCTCTGATAGTTTCTGCAGCGGCGGTCATGCTTCAATTCGTTGTTAAAGCACATAAAATAACAGATTAATCGCTTTTCGTATGATTGCACGTGTTCTTACGAAAATCTAAGTGTAGATCATTTGGCTTCTGGTCTTAAGGGGATTGGAAGCGGCGATTTTCTGTCTTTATCTAACATACGTGGAACATATAATACGCCTGATAAAAATTTAAGTATTTCTAGTTGCTCGATTTAAAATATGTAAAGATTTTTGAATTGGTATAAGTAAAAGTTTTTTTTTATTGATCTATTTTTTTACAACCCGGTATCATAGGCCATTAGTTACTTTTTTTTGTAGATACTTTTGTTACATAATTATATTTACATTATATTTGGCATATTAAATTAATTGATTTTAAAAAATTAAGTATTTTCCTATTTTGAGCGGGATCCGGACCGAGTAGTAAATCAAGTGTTTCTGTAATGTTGAAGTTTATTCGTTCCTGTTGATAGAGTGGGCATTCCGTTAGTATATGTTTGATGGTGAGCGGAGTTCCACATGCTTCACATGTGGGAGGTGTATACAAGTTTACTTTGCATCTGTCGAAGCATATTTTTAATATATTTAATTTAAAAAAATTTAAAATTTATAAAATTTAAAATATTAATTCTTATCAAAATATTGCTACAATCAAAAAAGTGCTTCGACCGATGCAAAGTAAACTTGTATACCAATTGATACCTATTATTTTATCTTTACATATTTTAAATCGAAAAATTAGAAATACCTTAATTTTTGTCAGGCGTATTGTATTTCCAATCCCCTTAATTCCAATAATACAGAAATCGCACGATAATCTTGTTATTTTTTTTCATACAGTTACAGTATGATTCATACTACTATGTACTCGTATCTTATATTAAGAGGCAGGATGTCAGCGCAATTTGTTTTCTCTCTCAGACTCACGCGCAACATAGATAAAACGCTTTCACCTAAATTTTTTTTTTATGATTTTTTAGTAACTTTAKAGTAAAACCACCTAGGTATTACAAAAATTATAGAGCATAATACTTTTAAGGGGATGATATATTTGTTTTATATTTTATTAGTATTTGGTTTTGTATAAGACTTTCAAAATACAATAGTAAAATATGTAAATTGAAATGTTTAAATTATTTTGACAAATCGATATGGCATTCTTTCAAAATTATTATTCTCTTTCGATTTTGTAATAGGTAATTTTACTCTATGATTATTCAAAAACATAAGTAAAATGATTCTGCGTAAATGCGTTTTGTTTATGTTGCGCATGGGCTAATGTGAGAAAACAAATAGTGCGTTGACATCCTCTTAAAAAAAAAAAAAAAACCCCGACAACAGTATAGGCTCCAGTTACATATAATTAATCATCACTTACATTTATAGGTTGGTTGCATAAAATTTAAATTTATTTCCGTTAATGCACATTGACAATAATATAGATTGTATTGGGTAATGTGTTCCTAATATTAAGTCTTTATTAATTATTTGTTCGTTGATTTTCGCACGATTCTAATAGTATGACCGCAATCGAATTTGTTTACTGTTTATTTTACAAAACCAAGCAGCCGAATATGACAGACGCTTTATTTTGAAAACATATCCGATACTTCCTATTCTATTTTTAAACGGGGTGATCAGTAGACAGTAATTTGTGTTATTAAAACGGAGCCATGGAGGGGTATCAATATATCATACTATAATGAAATGTTGAAATAACCAATAGTTACCAAATTTTTCCGAAATACCTTATTTTAAATTTGGTATAATAAACGAGTTATTTATTGATTGGTTTTGTTTTAAAGAGATATTATCCATTATATTATATATATAAATACGCCATCGTGGAACCTATAGGAATAATTATTTCATCTTAAACAAATATTATGTTTCTTTTAGTCTACCCGCTGAATATTATCCATTATATTATATATATTTGTAGAAAATTATAAAAGTTATTAAATTAAATTAAATTTTTTTAAATTTTATATGATATTTTTAAATTTTTAAATTTCAAAAAATCGTATTTGGTTATAATATAATAAGAGTAATTTTCTTCAGTATTATGTTTTACTAACCTAAAATTTTAATGTATGTTAATTGATTATAAATTCATATTTATGTGCTAAATAGATTTCTGAATGAACTACTGCAAAGTGCGAACATACCTGCAAATATTTTTGTAATATACGGTCTATAGATTCTTAAAGATATAATATAGGTATTATCATTTTATCATAATTTGAATATTTTTCCTCAATATACCAATTGTTAATCAGAAATTACAATATTAATTTTTTTATGTGATGTGCTGTGCTTACTTTAAAATGCCTATTGAATTGTACTTTAAGTGCCTATCAATAGTTAAAAAAAATATTTAGCACATAGGTATTATCATTGATTTTATTAAATCAAATTTATCATTATAGATGTTTGCATTTGTGTATTTATGCATTAAATTAATTTAAACTGTCTTAATATTGAATTAAATGAATAGTTGATGAAATACTATCCTCAATTATTCTTATATTTCTTTCATTGTGTAATAGATTGAATAAAACTATTTTATAAAACAAAACAAAAATAGTTGATGAAATAAAAATGTAGTTTTTCTTTGAGCTTTAGATTTGAGTGCAATTTAAGATCGAGAATTTTTACCTTTCATTATATTTTAAGAGATTACAGTTAATTTATAATTGGTGTATTTATATTATACACATGATCATTAAATTATATTACATTACTGTCTAATGGTCATTATTTCTGATTAACTATAATTTCAATTTGTATTTGAATACAAATGTACAATTATTAATATGATACATTTAACATTTGGTAATCTCAATAAGATATTGTAAACATTTATGGTAAGACCAATTGACAACCTCTGGACTGACTACTAAGTTATATTGGAATTAAATGTAGAGATAAGTCTATTATCTACAATTTTAACTGAAAAATTTAGTTTTATTATTGTTACTTTAGTTAGTTTAATAATATTTATGATGTAATGAGTATTACATTTTGTATTTAATTACAATTTATAATTTATTTTGTACCTAATCGTCATGCTTTAATATTAGTGCACATTAATTTCTTTGTAGCACTGTATTCATTTTGCATAACAAACTCTCTCTTTTCCAATTATGGTCATCATCTAAACATTTCCTTTGCTACATTGGCATATGTATTAACTATTTGTCTTATATTTTTTACCACCCTTCTACAGTTCTACCAAATCATTAAATCTCTTGGAAGGTGTTCATAAAATGGTAAAAATTATGTAAATAATAAACATGATTTACTTATGTATAATAATAATTAAAGCTTTTTAGATATCTATTTATTATTAAGGAATTTATTAAAATCATCTTGTTACTTCTAGAGTACTTACGACTTTATATGAACAATTTTATTTGGATATTATCTTTATTTTAAACCTAAATTAATAAGTTATGTAATCCCAACTAAATAAAACCCGTGTTATCATAGCATATAAATCTATAGGTAATTTTAAGAATCAAATATTTTTTAAATTTATATAACTAGATATTGTTGTATTACTTCAACTCAAACTATAACTAGGTACATTTAAAAATAATTTTTCCAAAAATTTATTTCTCTAATTTATCTGATATCATGGTTTAAAAAAAAATTTATATCCACCTTGAAGATTTTTGTTTCATCATACAATAGTTTAAACTAATAAATGACAAGGAGTATCCAAGTCTTTTTACAGTCATTACTTTTCAGGAGAAAAATTTTCCATTTTATCTTAACTTATTTACTGTTGGGATTCAGTCTTAAACAACCTTTAAGAATGAAATTGTCATTTAATATTCCATGTTATGTTATTGAATAAACAGCTTAAGCACTTAAATACTATTTTTACTATTTTTTCAAAAACTGCATTTAATTATAAAATTATCATTTCTTTATGATGATTTTGCAAATATTTAACAGCACACTTTACTGTACATCTTAAAATTGGTAAATGGACGTTGTATCCCCGTCAAAAATACCAGTCTACAAATGTTGTGGCCCTGTTAGTTATTAAGATAGCACATTTGGACCTCGAGTTATAAGACGTTATTTACACATAGTTAACTTATATTWTTTAAAAATTAAATTTGATTGATGCAAAAGTATATCAAAATTTGCATTTAAAAGTTTTAATTGTCAATTATTCAGTAATATATAACTTATCTCTAATATGTTACTCTATAGCATGTTAGATATATTATTAATTTAATTCACTTTTGATTTTATACTATGACTAATGTTTTTATGTTTAGGTACTGGTGAATCAGGGAAATCCACGTTTATCAAACAAATGCGGATTATCCATGGTTCTGGTTACTCCGACGAAGACAAAAGAGGGTTCATCAAACTAGTATACCAAAATATATTCATGGCCATGCAGAGTATGATCAGGGCCATGGACATGCTCAAAATACATTACTCTGATCCATCATGTTCTGTAAGTAATAACTTATTAACATGATAACAGACATTTTTGGTTAGAGATAATTAAAAATTTTTTAAAAAAGTGACTACACAATTTTTATATCTTTACTCAACATAAACAAACATACTAATATTGAATACTCTTATATACAGTGGCTGATTTTTAAAGGGGAGATCTAGAGATACTTGACTTCCAGTTACCAATGTATATATATATATGTTACTCAAATTACGTTAAATAGAAATTAACATTATTTGCCGGTTATTAACGTAATTGACCAAATGCATGGGTAATTATTGTTCTATACCAGATATGCATGTAAATCTCAAATACTAAAATTTGAAAAATTATGTACCTAGGTATTTTTAAAAATAGACAAAATGCATTATTATTATATTTATTTATATTTCCAACTTGTACTGCCTTGAAATTTACTGTTACACGACTTTTTAACCCCACAACAAGCTTAATACTTATTGTTGCAACCAATCTTACAATGGCAACACTGGTACCCTTGAGGGCCGCAACAGAACTATTACTAGCTGCTTCCCTCAATGTCAACTGTCTACCATCTGCTAATTTTATCACATTGTCCATATTAAAAATTTCTCTTCACAAGCAACTATRTTTTGGCGTGTGTAATTGTTCTTAAGGAAACTGTATTCTGTCCCTATAAAAGAAATATTTATAAATTACTTTTAATACAATTAAATGTTTTTAAATTGTAATGATATATTTTTTCATTACGAATTAACTTACAGAGTTTGTATAACTTAAAGGACAACTGCTAGTGTATTTCGTGGAGAACCATTAGTTCTATAGACGTCCGGTATAGTTAGGCATACAGTTGTGCCTATTTCAAACTGAGGAAATTTTTCCTTAAAAAGTTTTATAATTTTCTCTATTTGTTTTTCTAAATTTATTTTGACTTTTTACGTGTGATATAAATATTTTTTGATGATCATCTAAAAAAATATTTATGTTTTAGTTTTATTTGTCTTATATTTAGAATTTGGATATTCATTGTTATAAATACCTATCAAGTTATAAATTTTTTTTCTTTGATATCGTTCAGTGGTTCTTTGGTTATTGTTTGTTTTTATTGAATTAGTACCGCAATTAGTTTGGTGATCACCTAATCATTGCTCGTTGGACATTATTTATAATCAACATTGCCCATATAATATGGTTATTTACTAGAAAATAATTCCCGTAATTCCCGCATTTGATTATAATTAACATCAATAACCGGCGAATATTGTTATTTTCGGATAAAACATCATTTACCTTAACATATAGATTATATACAAAAATACAGAGTTATTTATATACCTATTTTAAATAATATACTGAAATAGGAACCCCCACTGAGAAAAATATTGAAAATTTGCCACTTGTGTAACATATTTCTCTATAGTTGTCTACTTTTTTTTTTTAGAATCTTAATTGTAAAATATAATCATTTTATAATAGTATTGAATAAAATATGAAAAGTTTAAAAATTTATTTTGAAGGAACGTGCGGAGCTCATTAAAAGTGTAGATTTTGAAACAGTAACGACATTTGAAAGTCCATATGTCGAAGCGATCAAAGCACTCTGGGGAGACTCTGGTATTCAAGAATGTTATGATCGCAGGCGGGAATACCAGCTCACAGATTCTGCTAAATAGTAAGTACAAAAATAATTTCTGCGCCACATCTTATGTTCTTTGATACATTATCTTATGTAAAAATATGCATTTATGGAATCAGATGTTGGTTAGTAAAATTTATTAATCAGTAAAATGTACGACCAACAGAAGTCGAGCCACCTACATAAAAAAAAAAATATATATGAATTTCAAATTCCTTTCATAGTCATATATATAATTACTGATTAGTAATAAACCATAAGCTATATAACCTTAACATACAGCATACATAATAATTAATCAATAAATTAAAAATAAATACATGTTAATTCATTATAATTTAATGACATTTATAATTGTATATAATGGGTTTAAATATTTGTTTGTTTATTTTAAAATATTTTCCAATAACTTTATACCCATTTACAGTTATTTAATGGAAATAGACAGAGTGGCCAGTCCAAATTATCTGCCCACAGAACAAGACATACTTAGAGTAAGGGTACCCACGACGGGCATTATCGAATACCCGTTCGATCTAGAAGAAATTCGGTTTAGGTAAAAATAAAAAGCATGATGTACAATTTTAAATGTATAAGTTTTTTGCTTGCGCATGTGTTTATAATGTGTATCTATTTCTCTATATATTGTTGCCAATTTATTTTTAAAATGCATGGATGTTATTGTTTATTGCTAATAATACTAATCAAACATACTATATAGGCTATTCCTTCAGTGGTTTCTGCGAAATAAAATATAACAGTTACATAAACATCATGTTTTAATGTACACTGTAAAATTAAAATATGCATATTAACTAGAAGTTGTGATAGGGTAAGAGGGTAACAGTTAAAATTCAAAAATTAACAGTATATTACAACTACTTAATTTTTAAATTTACTAATACCAAATCGTAAAATGTATTTGATTACTTATGTCTTATAGAATTTTTTAAATAGGAAATATATCTAAAACATATATACATAATAATATTTCACACAGTTACTTAAGCGACTTACCAAGAATCGAGGCCCCTGATTATTTACCTACTGAACAGGACATTCTACGTGCTAGGGCTCCAACTACAGGCATTATCGAGTACCCTTTCGATCTTGATGGTATTGTCTTCAGGTATCATTGTAAAACACGTACATTAAAAAAACCTTAAATATCCTGATGTAGCTAACCCAAACGTCATTATCTCCATAAAAATGCCATAAACATAATTAACTATTTACCTATTAATATTATTTAACTAATCATATATATTTGTGCTATTAACCTGTCAATAATTTTTTGACTAGTTATAATCATAACAGTACGTTATAAAGTGTTGCACTTTGTTTGAATAGCTTTTGTCAACATTATTTTAGCTTTTAATTTTTTGCTGTTATTTCTGATGTTGAGAGTAAATTATCAATTACCTAGTTGTGCTTTATTTATTTTTATTTTTTTGGAATTAAAATAACTTATTTTATATTGTTTTGCTTAAAAAACGATCTAACAATTAATGCTTTTTATATATGAAGTAAATTTTGTTATATTTAGTAGAATTCTAATTTCAATTTTTTTTTAATAACATCAAATATTAACATTTAGGATGGTTGATGTTGGGGGCCAGAGATCAGAAAGACGGAAATGGATCCATTGTTTTGAGAATGTAACATCCATCATATTCTTGGTGGCACTTAGTGAATATGATCAGATTCTTTTTGAATCCGAAAACGAAGTATGTATATTTCATATATTTCATCTTGTAGTATTTAATTTTTTTTTTTATCATTTAATTTCAGAATAGGATGGAAGAATCCAAAGCATTATTCAAAACTATCATAACATATCCTTGGTTCCAACACTCATCAGTAATATTGTTTTTGAACAAAAAGGATCTTCTCGAAGAGAAAATCATGTATTCTCATCTGGTAGACTACTTTCCAGACTTTGAGGGTAAGTATTTATACTTAATAATGTTGAACAAGAATTATTTTATGATAAAAATGACAAACTGACAATATCTAATATTTATACATAGGTCATCTCATGAAAATAATAATTTTAGTTTTTGTTAAAAAAAAAAAAAAACAGTTTAAATTATAGGTATTTTTAATACTTTAACTAAATTAGTACTCGCATATATTTTTTTTCAACAGAATCCTATTAAGGTTTCCCAGTGCCAATAATTATTGTACAAATTACATTTTAGTTGCAATCACAGTTAATACTTTTCCACTATAAATAAAAATGACTTCACAAGAAAATCTGAGGCCACATTGCAMAGATTTTTATAACTTTTTTTATTTGAAATAAGAAAATTTTTTACAGCTTGACATTGAACTCAGATTTTTAACTTATTTTAAATAATAGTAAGCCTAAAATAATTTGTATGAATGCTTAAAATTGTTTTTTTTTTTTAAAAAAGAATGATGTAGAATATTTCTCTAGTAAAAAAAAAAAAAAATTAAACTGTTGATCACACACATTATTCATATAGATTTTATTTATGAAGTTAAAATAATATCAATGATATCGGGTGCCTTAAAAATAAAAATATACTGTTTGGTTTCAACATATTATTATGTACTTGATATTTAAATAAAATTAAAATCTTTTTTTCATATGTATTTACTAGTAACATAGAACACCTGTGAATCAAAGCCTTTTTTATAAATTCAATTTAGTATAAGTGCTATCATATTTAATCTTTGGTATACAATATAATTAATATTTTAAATATTTTATTTCTTTTTCATTCTTATGAAAAAAATATTTTGATAAATAGGTAGTAAACAAGACAATGAGGCTGCCCAGCAGTATATTTTGAAAATGTATCTTAAAACAAATCCAGATCCTGATCGCATGTGTTATTCACATTTTACAGTTGCTACAGGTTATATTATCCATAACATAAACCCTTAGTCCTGTAATTATCCCCGTCAATTTCACATTACCAGTTGTACATTTGTTCATATGTATTGCACATTACCTTAGTATTTATTTTAAGCCTCAACTTTCTAGTCTTTATGTTAGTCTTAAATATACAATAAACTGAAATATTGTAGTAAAAAAAATAAAAATAAACTATTAGGTACATTTCTTATATTTTATTAAAAATTTAAGTCCAATTCTTGATTATTTTTTTTTACTATAAATTAACTTAATCAAATGATTATTCATTGAGCTCAATTAGATACTATACATTGAATTGTTGATTCAATATCTGGTTATGTGATATCTAGCATAAGCATTTGTTATGGTATTTGTTATTATTCATTTTATAACTTTTAATAGATGATTCTGAAAAAAAATAGTGCTAATATCTAATTAATTGATTTTGTATTACTACAAACAATAGTTATATCTAAAGTATATAATTGTGATTTTATATTATATAACATAACCAATTTGCCTTAGGTCCTCAAAGGGACGCCATAAGTGCACGAGAGTTTATATTAAGGATGTTTGTGGATTTGAATCCTGATAGTGAGAAAATAATTTATTCACATTTCACATGTGCCACAGGTATTTAACAGAATTGATAATCTTTGTGCATGAGCTTATGGGACTTCTGGTTTTTTTGTGTGCATTGTACTCAATGTCATTATGCATGTAATAATGAAAAAGAATGAAAGTTTATATTTTTACAGTTCAACATTTACCAAACATCAGTTTTATTTTGCATAATATCCTATACTTCAATATTTATTTGGTGTATAGTATTTTTACTATCAAGGTGTTGTAAAGAAGCAATTTTAAATTATTTATTCAAATATATGTATAGTAAATGACTTGGACTTATCATGTAACTTACTATAAACAAATAATTTTTTATCTTGATGTTATTAATAGAATCCAAAAACTATCCATGTAAACAATTAATGTAAGCTATAATTTTTTAGTTTTTATACAATCCCTGTTGAAATTAAACCATTTTTTTTACATGAGATAAAATTGATAAATTGAATAACAATAATAATTATGTTATGTTTCTTCTTTACATGCTGCTTACTTTTACAACAAATCAGATACGGAAAATATAAAACTGGTGTTTTGTGCTGTTAAAGATACAATTATGCAAAGTGCTTTAAAAGAATTCAATCTAGCCTAATTGTTATTACTTATTATTATTATATTTTATTGTTATTATCATTGTTGTTCTTTATTATTATTTAAAAATAACGATTCTAACAATTAGTAGAATATATTTTATTTTGATTGTGTTTTATTGAAAATTATTAAATCAATAAAATTATATATTTTATTTTACTAGTGTGTTTTGTCTTTTTTAATAATTTATATAAAAAACTGTTTAAATGGTATACTATACATCACATTTCATTACTTAATAGCTATTACTCATACATTTTGCATTTTCTTGTGGGTTTTTAAATAATTAGATTATGTGCTTGAAATGTGGAACCATAATTTTTGCATGCTGATGGTATCGATAATTTCTCATGCATATGATTTTCTTAAGGTAATATCAAACATTTTTAATTTACTAACATAAGATTTATTTAAACAATGCATGTTTTTTTTGTTAAATAACAACACAAGCATGTTTTTTTTAATATGGTACTATAAAATCTAGATTAAAATTTAGCCATAATTAATTCAATGTATAACACCTTATTTTCAGATACCGAAAACATTAGATTTGTCTTTGCGGCAGTGAAAGACACCATACTACAATCCAATCTCAAAGAATACAACCTTGTGTAATGTTGCACAAATAATGCGAAACCCCATATGTTAATATTTTTTACTATTTTAATGTTAAAATAACAATACGATTAGTATAAATCCTAATTATATATAAAAACAAACAACAAAAAAGTAAAAAAAAATTATGAGAAAATGTGTCCTATGTTTTTTGTACAATATTTTTAACAGAGTACGTTTTCTCTCACATTTTTATCTCCATGAGTGTGTTTGTTAATGTTGGTGTCGTGTGTGAGTCGGTGTAAATCCGTCATGATTTCGATAACATAACATATAAAGGGTAACTTACATTTTTTTTTAATACAAATTTTTTACTCATGTAAAAATTAATTGAAAGAAAATTATGATTAATACTTTTTATAAGAGCGCATTTTTTTTAATTTAATTTAATTTTTTTATTTAAAAAAAATATATGGTTAATCTCCTATATGTTCATTGCATTTAACCCTTATGTTATAATAATAATTATACAAACTATATAATATTTAAATATTAAAAATGTCAATATGAAATACGTGTACATAAATCTAATGAGATTAAGAAATTATTAATATCAGAATATAAATGTTTAAGTGTAAGTAAAAACAAAACAATTCAACCAACAAAAAATAGAAAAAAAATTTGGGAAAAAATTNCCCCATTTACCCAATAACATAATTGTTTTCTTAAATGAAAAATTATTTTTATTTTATTAACATCATGAGGTGGAGGTTTTACTTGTGCAATTTTAATAATTTATTAAACCCTTAAAAAGTGTATAAGGGTAGTTCTAGTCAGTCTCGTTTAAAACTATAAAACATAAATTTTAAGCAAAATATTGTGAAATTTTCTGAGTTACCTGTGTAAATTTAATTGATTAAAAAATTGTAATTTTGGTATTTATATTGATAATCTATGGGAAACATCTCAACATTGTGCTCACCCCATTTTCGCTCTGTATTTTATTTAAATTTTAAGACACTCGTTTTACTTGTTATTATTATTATTATTATTATTACTATTATTATTATTATTATTATTATTATTATTATTATTATTTAATATTTATACATATAATTATATGTGTTTGTTTGTGTGTGTGTGTGTGTGTGTGTGAATGTGTGAGTGAATATATTATGCTTAGAAGTCGAGAACATTAACCTCGACAATCAAAACATATTACTATCAACAAATGGCGCTATTTTTTAATGATTGTCAACATTATTTTCAAAAAATTAACAAAACTCCCTAACAATAAGAAAAGAAATAAAATAATTGTAGTAGTAGTAGAAGCTTAATAATATAATTGTTGTATTGTCTTGTAAAACGAATACACACACACGCACAGACATTGTGTATAAGTACACTGTTCTAGGCCGTATACTAATAAATGATTGATTATTTGTTTGCGTGAAGATGACCAGTTTGCAAATACAACAAAATATAAGTATCTAGTTTATAGTGTTCTAATGCCCACCTATTTTTACTTCTGCTACTACTACACCTCTGCTGTTTTCATAACACAACTAAAGCAGTGTTCTTAACCAGTATCATTTTTCATATTTTATTTTATTTTTTTCGGAAGTAATTTAGTGAGAACTTTCAATTGTATCATCGGACTGACCTCATAAATAAATATATATAATGTACGTCTATAATAATGTTATTATAATTAATTTTTCTGGGGTGATCACATCAACTCGACCACCTGGTGTATTTAAAATTAAATGTATTTTTTTTCCTTTTTTTCCATTGTATAAATATTGTTTTATACTATTGCAAGCCATTATTTTCAATACTTTTATAATATAATATGGTAATAAGAAAATATAATTTATAAAACGACTATCGTCGCACGTAAATATGTTATGTATTTTATTTTTTTTTTGTTTTTTTTTTTATCAACAGTCAAACACAAATAAAATATAAACATATTGTATGGATAATATTGATGTTCAATGTTTTGTAAGCCACATTTTATTATTTATATTCTGATATTAAATTTTTGGTTTTATTATATTATGTTATATTTTTTCCTTTTTTTTTTTTTTCATCAAAGAAGAAATGCTGCCGTTTTTTTATTATTATTATTTTTTGTTATATTTTGTTATCGGACATCCGATAAAACTAGTGCAATTTCACTTTAAAATTATATGCAAACATAATTATTAAAAAGTACTTAGTCAAAGTGTTACCTGTTAGTTTACAGTACTAACGAAAATATGTATGTACATAATTATACATCTATCATATATGTATATGTATAAAAAAAATTATTTATATATACATAAATGTTCATGTATAAAAAATTGTTTTAATAACAATCAAATGTTGGATAAAAAATATTCCTTGAGTTCATTATTTTGATACACATGTATATAGTTTTTTTTCTGTGTGATGTCTAATGTGAATTTTTTCAAAAAGAAAATATACAATTATATCGCTTTTTAAATGGTTCTTTTTTTTCTATTTTGACAAAATATAAATATTTATTGGTTTTCATTTTCAAATCAATACAAATATTTAAATATCTCAAAAAGACTTGATTTATTCCATGTTATTCTTCATATTTTGGTTTTGAGGTAATAAGTTATATTTTGACCATATATTTTATGTATTATTTTCTATTTTATTAATTATATTTAATTAGTAAGCTTACATACATTATGTAGGTTCTTTGACTTTTATTTTTTCGTTTTCTCTGCTACTATATTTAACAACTAGAATGCGTTGGATGATGGTTCACAATGATTCATTGAATCTTAGTTAAACTATTTTGAGATGATCGACATAGTTTACTCTTAGATAAYATTGTATAGTATTGTCTATGATATTAACACATATTGATATAATCATCTGATAACCACACAGTTTAACTTGACAAAAAAGAAACAAGTTTACATTTGAATTATTGTCAATACATTGTATAACCAACAAGAGAAAAAATAATAAATAAATAAAAAGATTGAATTATCAATAATTGTAATCTATCAATTTATTTTGTACTATGTAAGCCAGTTATCATTTTGATTTATTTGATTTTCAGGGTTAAAATTATATTTTATAACTAGCCAATGCTAATGCAATAGTGAAAAGCAGTCTGTCTATTGTGTGTATTTTATATTACTATAAAATATTTTCTTAATTAAATTTAATAAGGTTCGAGTATTTTGTGCATTTGAAAACTTTATTCTTATAAAGCACAACATTTTAAATACTACATTTTCACCTTTAATAGTTACTTAAGTAATCCTCTTAATACTTAATAGACTTTAAAAACTTGATTAACACAAAATATTTGTTATTTTTAATAGTTTTTAAATTTAGTTTAGTATTAATCATGCAACCTTAAACCAATTTTTTAAACATGTACCATTTAATTTTAAATATTAATACATGAAAACCAATAATTGGTAATGTTTAAAAAATAAATTGCAAGTTCTAAATTCATGGTTTATTATTGTAATTTTAATATAAATAAATTACTTTCAATAATGTATAAGAATGTAAACAATTAGGGATTGGGTAATTATAAGAGAAAAGACATAAAACACAACAGATGAGCTTAATTTGTTTAGCTCAAATAACCTAATTTAACCTTTTATTATAAAGTTATTTTCAATAGAAATAAGTTTCAAGTGGTATTTGTTGCATAATCTTCAATGTGCTCCTTGCTTCCTTATGAGATAGTTCAGTTATTCAATTTTATATCATACATTCGCAACTAGGACTGAACAATTGTGTCATTTTTTTTTATTAAATGAGTTGTTAAAAATAGACGGCTGGGATACTGCATCACACATTTGAAAATATTTCATGAAAACAAATTAATTTAGTATAATTTACTAAACCCACGTTTACCAGGCATAATAAAAACATCCACATCAACACAAATACTATAAATGTTGTTTAATGTGAAGTTAATATGAATGTTACCCAGTATTTTCAATATTGTCAAGTAAGGTAATTTTTTTAATTGTAATTGAAATGCATATTGATATTGGGGCCTCTGCAAAAAATGTCCATTCTGTGAGAGGTGGAGGTGCCAACAATTAGGAAATGATACAATTTGTGAAACTTGCACTTATTTGGTTATAGTGGTTTTATTTGCAAAAATTTGTTGGTTTGTCATAAAACAAATAAATAACAAATATTAGTTATTAAACACATACATAACAATAACATGTATTCTTAATAAATAATAATATATACCTAACATAGTAGAACTGGCAATCTTAAATTTAAAGATTTTCCAAYTTTTTTTGTTTGTTTTATAGTAGATTCATAAATCCAGGAAATCCTCCTACTTGGTTCCATCAACCATATTATCAGGCCATTCAGGCCTGATTGATATACAAATTACAATAAAAAAGTGTTCTTTACTAAAGTTAAGAATCATACTCWGTAGCGCCAGTTTTTGTTATACAGCAGTCAGGCAAAACCTGTAAATTGCACCCACATAGTCAACCGTCTTATATTTCTAATGCTCTGAAGTTATAGAAGCTAAAAAAAGTAAAATTATGCAAAAAAAAAATGTGAATATCCATAAAGAAATCTAAATTCCTAAAATCTGTTATATGTTATTAATTTTCACTAAAAGAAATGGAAAATATGGAAAAATAAAATTTTATATCAAATAAGTCAAAAATCCATGTTTGCTCTGCTGGTTTCTCTTTGTCTCTTTTCACAATATGGCCCAGTCACTATATTCTTGTCTTGTCTTTTTATGAAACTAGAGACAGGTGCTAATCCCAGTTCTTCCTGAAGTTCCTTGTTAAATTATCTTCTCCATTCATGTATTCTTTTTATTCTTATGTCACGAACATACGTTAGGGTAAGCGTATCATTATCCATATTTTATTTTTTAAAGTTCTGAATCTTCTCACTGTCACACTTGTCATTGTACTTCACACGCATATGTGGGGGTAAGTCTGATTATTGCTGTGTATATTCTTGATTTTGTTTTCTTGTAGAGACCATTAAATTTGAAGAATTATGACAGAGCAATACACCTAAATATTGGAATCCTTCAAGTTTCTCAAAAGCTAATAAGTAGGTTGTCTTGGACCTTGGTGTAATTCTTCTAGAAGCTCTATTATTTTATTATAATCCATAACTTTACTCTATTTAATTAATTATGTATAACATCTTATTGACACAATTTAGTTGAATGATCGTAAAACATTTCTACAATATCTAAAATAACTCGTAATTTAACTTACAAACATAATTATTAATTAAATGACCGGTATTATAAAAACAATAATGTATAGCTAAACTTTATGAAAAAGATAGAGGCAACATAAAATCAGAAATATTAATTTTAACTTTCAGTTGTTTAAACATACAATTTATTACAATGATTAACATGAATTGTTTGATTTATTTAATATATTTATAAAAAAAAAGGTAGACAAATGAACACAGTATCACTTTGGTGTATGGACACATGGTAGGTGTTGAGTGGTTCGAGCAGTCACCATTATTACTGGAAAACTTCTGGTTTGGCTCCAAGACGATTTAATGAAAATTTTATTTTTCAAAATGTTTTTGCTTAATTTATTTGATGATACTTTCAAAGTCGCTCAGATATAGTTCAGTAGTGAACACAGAAAATTATATTATGAACATTTTAAAGTTTTCTGTCTATATGTTATGCCAAAATAACAAATCTATGTTACTTAGTTTCTAGAGATGTTACAAATCATAATATTTAAGGTCGAACCGAACTTTTCTTTAAATTAACGAACTCAAACAGATCCGAACCTACACACTTTTAATCGAACCCAAACCGAACCAAACTCTTCAAAAAATTTATTGAACTCGAACCAAACATTAAAAGTTAAATTGGATAGTTATTTATTTATCATTTAGCCACCATACCTCAGAATTATTGAATAAAGATTTTACAACTATTTACTTAAATACTTTAATAGTTAATAATTATTATGCATGAGATTTTTAATTTTTAGTTATTAATATGATGATAACTGATAAGAATAAGAAAAAGCGAAAAACATTAATATTTAAAACAAGCAAACATTAAACAACTAATATTAATCTAATAATTATTTATTATTTTATTATAATTTATAATTTTAGCCGTTACTCCATCGACTTTTATTTTTATTTCTCTGGTTCGATTATGGAACGGAACTATTAGACATTTGGTTTGGTTCAATTATTTTTAATTTCCAGTTTGGTTCGAAAATCAAACAGTTTGTAACAACTCTATTAGTTTCCAATAGCGCTTTTGACAACTAATGGGAATTTTCATTTTTGACCTTAAATGTACCAACTTTCCCACTAGTAAAGATACAAAAGTTGAAATTCAAAGCATTATTTTGACTATTTATTGAATTAGTCACATAAAAAATCACTGTCATTATAAGATCAATACATTTGTCACTTTGCTAAGAATCTAAAATATTTCATAAAATGGTGAAAAAAACTTATTTTGTTAATACACATTATATATGGAATATCTAAACTAATCAAAGAGAATATGAGGAATGTTATTTTTTTTTCTTGCTTTTCAATTGTGATATTTTACGAAAATGTTTTTAAAAAACTCAGTATCATGAATTCAGTTGATCTATAATTTATTCCTCTCAATAATTCTGAAGCCTTTATATTTTCATAATATTAGTTCAGTTTCTAAACCATACGCATAACTTTTTACTTCTACCAAATCTTAATAAAATTACATAATATTAACCTAAAAATTCTAAATGCTGCATGTACTTCCATAATATTCATTATTTAACACTCGCTTAAACACATATAATTTTCCTAATGAGTTTTATAAAATCATGTGTTACCCTAAATGGCATAATATTATCACACAGATAGCAACTGGCATCAATGATAATACAATTATTTGTAGATTGGTTACACAATCATTTGATAAAATGTATTATTATTAATAGGCAAAAAATTGTAATTTAAAAAAAAATTATAAAATATGTAAATTTTTGAAATCATCTCAGGACAATGTAACACTTTAACAATAAATATGTATTACTTTTTCAGGTAGTTAAACAATTTAAAATACTTGAATTTTAAAACTAAATAAATCTTTATATGAAATTATTTAATTAATATTTAATTTAAAGAAGTCTTCTAACTTTTAAAACAAATAAAATGTTTCATCAAGTTTAACAAGATTGTAGAAAATTACATTTAAGTTAATAACTGGTTTAGTCATTATGTACAGCAGCCTGGAATACCAATAATAATAAGACAATGAGTATTTGAACAGATTTTATTTGTTTATTACACAATTATTCTGTAAAATGTATTATTTTTAAGTTAAAAAATGTAATTAAAAAAAATAAATAAATCGGAAAATATGTTAATTGTTGAAACCGTCTCAGAACAAAATTACACTTCTAATGGAGATTAAATACTACTTGCACAGTTAATTAATCAATTTAAATACTAGAATTTTCAAACAAAATAAACCTTAATATTAAATCTTTAAATTATAGGACAGTCTATTCTCACTTTTACAACAAATAAAATGTTCCTTCATGTTTTACATGATCATAGAAGAATACATTATAGTTGCTAACTGGCTTATTCATTACAGTATTTATAGCAGTCTGGGATACCATTGCGCCTATAATAGACGTTGTAGGGCTCAGTTCACAAAATAATTCTCTAAAATACATATTTTAATATTAGTTAATAGTTTCATGTACTTAGTTATTATGATTTATCAATATATTTACCCATAGTATTCTTCAAATATATCAACATCAGTACTTTCTTGATCTGAAGAATGATTCATTTGAAGATGAATAATTGATTTCAATTCTTCAATATCTTCCTCAGACGTATCGGGATTTGGCTTACGGTTAGAATCAGATTTAAATTTTAATAAGCCTAAAAGAATCAAAAATATTTTTGTAATTATTCAGGCACTAGTTAAAACATAACTAACAAAAATACCAAATATAATATACCTGAAGTCAAATAATATATCTGTGGAAGTTTTTTTGTTACAGTAATAGAATCGATTTGATCATTGTTTGGAAATACTTCACCGTATAAGGAATGGGTGAAATTCCTAAAAGATAAACACAAAAATGAAATATTTAAAATTGCAGTGAAAATTCTAAATACCGGACACTCTCTGTCACTGAAATTGTAATTGCTATTTGGAGGTTTTCGGTATTCAGCAAAAGAAAAAAATCATACTTATATCAAATAATAACTATGTATGCACATATATAACATAACAACAATATAATACGCAATATTAATTTTATAACATCTATAGGTATAGGTAATATGTTTACATGTTTGCGATTTATGTTTGACCAACTCTAAACATGTCAGCGAACACACAAATAATCATATTTGTAAGGACCTCTCGAAATTCAAATACCGATTTCAATTATTTCTATTAAAGTTACATGTTTTCTTTAAGTGGCCAATTGGCACTTCCTCCAATAAATAGTATAGGTATATAGGAGAAAAAATATCACTGAATAAGAACAGGGTAACTTTAAATGAGCTAAATTAGATAAATATTTTTGTAGACACAATAACATTTCAATGACTGAATGGATAAGATGAAGATAATGGAGAATAGTAATAATATATAAGTTACATGTGTAGCATGCTAATAATTATAAGTTAAATATCATGAATGTAACCATTAACTAGAATATCTTGTATTTATAGATTTTAAATAGATAAGTAGTGAAAATTTCTATTTCAAAAAAAAAAAATGTCTGTTTGGAGGTGTCTGTTGAGGGATATTTTAATTTTTTTTTTTATTAATAACTAATTACTTACACATCTTGATAAAAATATCCAAATAAACCATAAACATCAGCTATGAATATCATTACATTAGCTTTTCTGCAAACTTCACTCAGTCTTTTATAAGTACTTGAAGAACATTCTGTGGCTATGACAACATCAAACAAAGTAATGAAACTATCCACATTTTCTTCAATCGGTGTTGTATCTGCTTTAACTTTAACATTTGGGTTTAGCTTTTGTGCTGCATTCAAACTTGCTTTAGCACGCTATAATTATATAAAAATTATTTAAATACTTTATTATACTTTAATCTTGGTAATAACTAAGGCTCGAATGTTTAAGCACCTAAAACTACTGTAATATGCATGCATTAACGCACTAAAAAATTACAAAATATGGTATCAAAATAACCGCTAAAAATTATAATAAAATATGTATTTTTAGTCAATAAAAACAAAAATATGCACAAAGAATTATTATAATTCATAAAATATAATTTTTTTTTTTTATAAGTATTTATTTTTATACAATTTTTAAATTTACATATAATACACGTTTCGATCGACACAGCAATTTAAGTTGTACTAATATGTTATTCAGTCATTACTATACTCTATTCAGTTTAAGTTGACCCACTCGTCAAACGAAAACCGGTCATGATTGCGCATGTCTTGCAGCGCTAGTGTCCAATGTCGCCTTACCACCTATTGACTATGACTCCGGTCTCCGATAGTTAACGACGATCGGCGACCAATCACGGATCACCATTCACCGACCAGAGGGGTCTGACCGTTTCGGCGGCTCAGTATGCATGCGCGAGAGTGGGTCAACTTAAACTGAATAGAGTATATATACAAAATATTATTATTGCTATATAAATTAGGTATCTAATAAAGTACCGTAGTCCCGAACAAACACAATTTTAAACATTTATACTTTACATCAATGCAAGGTAGATTGTAGTTACTACCTATAAAACTGATATAGGTATATAAATTATAGAATTAATTGTATGGTTTGTTAATTTAAATTATTTTTTTAAAACCCAAAATATGCAAAATAAAAATAGTATTATTTGATTCAGTAGAAAATGAAATAAATTTGTAGCTAGGTTAGAATTAAATTGGATAAATAGAAAAAAGTTTTCAATTTCAAAAACTTCCAAGCTCTAGCAATAATTATATACAGTACTTACATTACGTTCTTCGCTATCACGTGGGATAAGGAACTGAGAACAACGGTCTAATATGGACACTGAAGTATGATCCTTCAGGGTAATAGAATTAACACCCGACAATATCAAATTTTTAGCTATCTCAGCGCCTAGGCCTTGCATTCCAATTAAAAGTACATTCAGTGATCTCAACCTAGGTAATGTAAATTTTAAAATACGTAGTACAATATTGTAAAATAACTTGATGCCAACACATACTTGTTTTGTCCATCATAACCCCACAGGCGTATTTGGCGGTCATAAACCTTGCGTTCTTCTATTGTCAATACGACGTCACCATTGTTCGACATTTTGGAAGCTAATAAACTATCTCGTATGATAGATTAGGCGATGATTTAACTTGAGTAAATAATGTTAATTAAGTAAAAATGTTTTATTTATGAGATTCCCAATCACTGGCCACTAAAAGTGAACCACTCAAACAAAGGAGGCACACACTCAGCAAAACAATACGAAAAAGCGTCGTACCAGTACAAGTCTCTACGAACGGTATGACGCTACGATATAAAATTAACCAAGGTACCCAGGACGGTATTCAAACACAATTCATAAACTAAAGTGGGTAGAGGGTTACAATCAAGCGCGTTGGAACACTAAACAATAAACTTGGAACTACAAACAGATTATTGAAAGGCGGTTTTTTGTCAGGGTTTCTCATAATAGCGCGTGAATAAGGCGGGAAATTTAAAATGATTATATAATAACATGCGCTTTTTATTTCCAGCCCATTTTACGAGTATTGTTTTGAGCAGAAACCGTAACCCAGTGCGCTACGATCGAGACGCATTTACAACCCACTATAATTTAATTATATAATCAATTCCAGTTTCAGCAGGCTTCAAGTACGGATTAAGATATCTTAGACCTACTAGACCTAACTTGTGGCTAGCAATTACCAGACTGATCTTATTATATGATCTGTATGACTGTATGTATAGTAGTATAGTACTTATTAGTACTATCTTAAAATGTGTACCGAAATCATAAAGTAAATAGTAATTAAAGTGCTCAGGTTCAGTTAGGACTTAAGAATTTAAGATATCTATGGTCTAACCATTAACCAAATAAGAGCGCACGAAAATCAGTCGAAACTCAACAAAGTGAATAGACCAATTATAGAGCAATAAAATTGGCCAAGGGCAGTGGCGTGGCGAACTCGAATATTTTCAGAGGCAAGTATATTTTGCGATACCCATCAACCATAATTTTGTCTCTCAATTGTAAATAGAGTTGGGGGGGGGGGTGATTGCTTTTCACAGACAATTGTACTTATTAGGTAGGTATTATCTATTCTGTGTTATTACCAACTACCTAAAATGGTTAGTAACCACTGCCTACTGGATATTAGCTTTCGTTTATATATTATATCTATATTAGACAATATTAAAATATCATTTTATGTGTTATTTTCCTAAATTCGTTATTATGAATTTAAATTATTTCCCATCCACCCAGTGTCACCCATCACCAACCAAAATAAACTGAGAGGCGGCCGCCTCTCGATTACCCCCATCGCCACGCCACTGGCCAAGGGAGTCCGAGGATCATTTGGATAGCCAACGTGGTGCGCTCTTATTTGGTAAAAACCATAGCGCAACTCTATGTTACAATCCACTCAAATCCAGTACAAACATAATTTATGAGTGGAACAGCAGACGCTGCCGCCCTGCCGGTTAAATTTCTCATAAATTGACTTTTGACATTTTCCATGAAACCGAGATCATGGAAGAAACACCTTTCTGTTGTTATTGTTTTGTGGTTTTACCAATTACCAACAAACATTAATTCAATTAATGTCTTATAACTTATAAGTTTTAGTTCATAATGTTCATATTATTATGTGCGTTGAACATTCCGTAAATTATAAATAGGATAACGAATTTTAAAATTTTACGTAAGTCACAATAACCGTATAATTTAAAAAAAGCTGATTTACCCGGTTTTTGAGCTCTTGAATCACAATTTGCCGAAATGAAGCCTATAGGTCTGATTGCTATGCGTGGCCCACGGCTAAGGTGGATCCACAAGTCACAACTCATGTGTTGTGTCGTGTACTGTCGTGGACTCGTGTTAAATACTAAAAAACATTATTATAATTGACTTCCTTAAATACTGTTGTAAAAATGATACGCTTACAGATTAGATGAATAATTATTTTCATATAATTTGTGATTGTATGTACCTAGGTACACAGGAACCCATTTATCTATTCTACCTAAAGTTGAATATGAATAGAAAACAACTTTTGGTTGTGGCACAGGTATAGATATAATATCTATATAATTATCATATCTGTGACCTGTGTTGTGTGGTTCAGCACTTGGCACTATATGGCACGTGAAACCCGCATGAGTTGTCTCCGTCTTACAAGTGCGTAATATACTAACAGCAAAAACTGTTTCGCGCAGGAAAGAACTGAGAAGTCTACAATTAGAACTAAGAAACCAAATTATCACCATGAAAAAAGGAGAGTTTTAACGGTGTCACAACGTTTTTATTTTTTCGATAAGACTAATTATATCAAAAGCTATTCAAGTTTGAAAAACTTAAAAATATCAGATATTTAAAAGTACTAAAAGTAGGTATTATAACTTTTTTCTCATTGAAGATATCAAACAAATAAAAACGATACAACACAGAAAATATTATTTTCTATATTGTGTTAACTTTTGGAGTTCCTACCAAGAGTACAGACTGAGTGGATCTATCCCGCGCTAAACACTTTTGTCTTTACCATGACAAAATAAACGTATGACAGCAACTTTGTGATACGCACAAAGTGGCTGACGCTTTGCTCCTAATCAGTACGTTTGTTATCATTCACAATTCAAATTCAAATTTAATTTAATTCAAATCATTGACAAAAGTATGTTAATATTTTACTAAACAATAAAAAACATTTTATAGACTAACATACCTTACTAACTTAGTATGAACTATGAACACATAAAATATAGTTTATTAAATTTTTAGTTGGTAAATTTTTGTATTTTTTGTTTATCTTTTTTTTTAAACTGTTGGTCAATAATTTTCCTGTTCAGTTTATTTAATCTTATATAAGTTCGAGTTTGAATTATGCATTGAATAACCTCTTCAGGTATTCCTAAAAATTCAATATGTGCTTTTACAGTTTTCATTAGTTTTTTAAAATGGTCTTTGTGTCAAATGGTTCTTCAAGTTTAGCTAAAACACATAGGTAAGTAGTAATTATTAAAATCTTATTTGTTCCATTATCATTTATTTTATATCAATTAATTTATAATTAGGTACTTCAAACTGTTGTAAAATATCCAAGTGTGTTTGTGGAACTCCAACAGTAGATTTCAGATTGGCTACATCATCAGTGACAACTGTATGGTCATTTTCATCAAGATTAGAATCAGTTATGATTGTACGTGTTAATCAGTTGTTTTCTTCTAATAAGTTTGTTTCAATGCTCTGTTCAGTGTTTGTATTATTCGTAAACACAACATTCAAATGCTTTCCCAGTAAACCATCTTAAGCTAAAGCAATTAAGGAACAAATTTTAGCTACCTAGCACATTTTTTGAATTTTTTTTTCAAAAGAAACATATATTAATTCTATAAGTTTTCAATGTAATAAAATTATATAAATACAACATACCAATGTTTAAAGTCTAGGGCAGTTATATTTGAACTTGCACTTCCCACCATACCTTTTAAATAGCTATATAAATTTTCCAATGCATCCTGATTCAACTTTCTGGTTAAAATATAAGAAAGTCCATGTAATTCTTTTAAATCATCCAATAAATTCTTTAAAGATTTATTACATATCAAAATTCCTTAAAAAAAATTGTGATTTATATTGTATTCAGATAAATATCATAAAAAAATATTGTACTTTAAAACCTTTTTGAAATGGAAGCAAATGTTGTTTCTTGTGAACTCTCATATTCAGTATAAAATTACTCATCTTGTCAATCAGTTCATTTTGATCTTTTAAATTTAGTCCATAACTTTCTGTACCATTATCAAACTTTTGCTGTGTATTAAATAAATCAAACCATTGATCAATAATAGAAATCATTTCTGCAGCCTATCATCAAACAAAATTGTGTATCATAATACGTGAAATAAATTCTAAAAAAGCTTAAAAATAATTATTAATTAAAATTATCTATAACTCTTACATCTTGCCAATTATATTTATCTATATATTGCTGTTCACCACAAAAGGCAATTGCCTTTGCAACACTATTTGATAGCAGCTGTACAGCTAATCGCACATTCATTCTACCGGGTCCTTCAACTAACAAATRTCTATCAGAAACTTTGTATGCAAATTTAAAATCATGTTTTGAATTTAAATTTGAAATATATTTATCCCATCATATTTTCCATTTGGTTATACAAACCCTCTAAAAAAAATATATATATATATTATATATAAATAATATCAGCCTGTTTTATCATTTTCAAAAATACATACTGATCAAGTAAATGATTTCTTAAAAGTTTCATTAAATGAGGAACATCTGCAAAAACATGGATTTTTCTCTGGGTACATGGATGTTCAAATGATGAATTTGTTATTTACCGAGCAGTAAAGTATTATTTTATCGTGGATCGACGACGATCGAAAGACTATTGTCATATCTATACTCCTATCTTATCCTATCCTAATATTTTTCCGTAGTMCTATTKAACTAAAAATAACTTATCGATTTGTACACTTAATCGGAATTTATTCCATGTCTCATGTGTATTGTGTACATAAATATATTGCTCTGAATTCTGAAAGGTGCTTATAATAAATTATTTTTATTTTTTTTTTTATGGGGCGGGGTATAGGTAAAATATTAAAATATTTTATCCCCCCCACCACAAACATGGCCAAATTACGCCACTGGAGACAACACATGTGGATATCACATCCTCTTAATCTTATTTTATCTCTAATTATCTGACTTTTTTTCGTATTATCGAGTATCGACGAGTGACGATGGACGATGCTGTCGAAACTCGGAACGCCAGGAACAAATTGCGCATTATATCGTCAGCGTCGCCAGTAAAAAAAAAAAAACGAATACTAATAATTCAAATAAAGAATACAATATATATGTTGACAAGTCTTCTTTGATAAGCCGACCGGAGTCCGCCGCCCATTACTTTCATGGCTCGTCAGTTGTCAGTTAGATTTCCTCTGTCTTCCTGGCCCTCTCTTCCTCTTCTTCGAGAGTCAGGATCTCTTCCGCCAGTTCCACCTCCACCATCTGGTAAAAGATCCTGAACATCTCCTCCGCGTTATAGAGCACCTCAGGCCTCACTCAGAAGTATGACCTTTAAAAAGTCATATCTCCATATTATCACTGTCATAAATTATGGATATAGTAATGAAAAAAAGGTCGTAACCTACCTTTACAAGTTGTGTAATCAGATCAACCGCGATGAAATGTTTGAAACATTTTTTGCTTCTTCTGATTAATCGAGTTGACCAAAATAGCTGAACATTTTTTGTGTACATGGCAGTATGGCACACGCGTATCGGGCGTATGATGATGGATATTGATTCGCTTTCAGTCTCAACATTGAATCAACATTTTACAGGTAGGCTGCAATACTGCATTGCTGCTGGCCTGATATAGATATCTTAAATCATGCTCAATACTCATAATTTTTTTTTTGTACCATTTGTACCCACCATTGAGTTATTGAACTATTTTCAAGATTGAGGTGTGCACATTTCTTATATAAATTGATGAATACTTATACATTTTGGGAGTCCCTGGATATTTTTATCGAATTTGACCAGCGAAACGTACATACATAATGTATTTGATCCATAGACCAAAGTAAATCACAGATAATATAATCTGTTTTATAATAATGATACAGATATTATATTTTTATTATGATATAATTTGTAGTATAATATCACAGAAAAAAGAGACACCCACGCTGTTAATTAAAGTTTATCTCTTTTCTATGATCGAGCCCTGCACTATGGAGACTGCATAAAACAATTAATCCACAAATGGCACAAACTATCATCTATTTCCATATTTTCTCTGTTGTATTCTTTTGTTGTCWGCTATATCACAGAATATAACATCATCTAGAGACTATTATTTGAGAATATGGCCAATTCGCTGTGGCACACTGCCACACTGAGAACTGGGAAGTTGTATATCAACAAGCTCGTTGTCGGTTTGTTCGCGCCTTCACGTTTGACTTGATTATTTTTTTCATTATTTTTTAGTTTATTACCTATAGCCTGATGGCTAATCTAATTCTATGTCTGTCKCTGTACACCGTATAGTCAAAACATTCAAAACTAGCGACCATAACCTCATCAATTCCCCCCCCCCACACGAAATTGTAGTTGTGGTTGTCGTTATTTTATCCCTTAGAAATAAATAAATGTTTATACCTATTATTAGGTACATTATAAAAAACACATCATGTCATCATGGTAGATAWCCTGCTATTAAAAGCCCCAGTAAAAAAACCTAAAATATATTTTTAGACATTTTTTCCTCTCACAGTCTCACTCATGAAATTCTTGAATACATATTACATGTTGATTTCTGAACTCTATTTACCTATAAACAATTAAAAAGCGTAATCATTAGGGGCAAGGGGGACAGCTTTCCTCTCAAGTTTCAGAATTCAGATATTTAACTGAGGGGGRCTGSCCTCATCTACAACCCCCATAATTTACTACAGTTTGCGCCAATGAGTATACTGCAAGTAAATAGGTACCAGGTACGAGGTGGTACACTGGTACCTACATGGCTACATCTATACTCAATGTCTATACTTCGTATTAATTACGTGTTTTTGAACCGGTTATTTGATACTCTCCAAAAAACAAATAATACTGTTTTGGAATACGTAAAAATATTGCATATTGAAATATTTTAACACGTTTCGAGTCGGCTACCTAATGACCTAATTAATATTATATAACTCGCATAGTTGTATAGGTATCTTAGATTCTCAGATACCTTGCCGCGGGTTAAATCTACTTGGCTACCTATTAGTATACAGTATTTACGGTTCTCACTTTCTCAGTTCCCGGGACGTGCCCACGGCGGTGTCTGGAGAGCGCGATCTAGTGCCGTCGATTCATCTTGGTTTCCCACAATATAATTCTCACGACTCACGTAYGATGATTTCACCGGACCTATGTCGGGGAAAAATGTGGGCGGCGTCGACGGCGCACCTGTTGATTAACGCAAAATCAGGTCCTCGGTTCTCGTCGGTTGGTCCCGATATTGGCGAGAAGTGAGAATCGTCTCTCGGATGGCACTGCGTCGGTGGTGGTGGTTRGGTGACCGTACCTTGTCCTTAACAGCGGACGTTTGTACGACGTAACGACTAACGGATAACCGACAACAAGACGTCGCGACTAAATGTACTGAGCACCGAGGCTGTTGCACCTACTGCTGCACACCGCTGCAATAGTGCAATACGGACGGCGGTTGCCTCGCACTTTCTACGGAGGCTGTACTCTGCAGGACCATGTCGTCTGCCGATTGCACGCACTCCTCCACGACTGTTGCCGCATCGCACCGTCACCTACGACCGCGTACGTTTTTAGGGCAACGCCAACGAATATCGGATGCGATCCGCCACCACCTGTGTGACACTGCCACGATATTGTCGTTGTTATTATAGAAATATTGCCAAACGTAAATATCGTCACAGGTATATTACAATTTGATCGGGCGGTCCATCTTCAGCTACTGTAATTAAGTATTATTGTGGTTTTCCAACAGTCGCCGCGATACTGAGTACATCACGGACACTGCCCACACGATCTGCACACGTAAGTATGTTTCATTAGATTAGCTTAGTGGCTCCGGTACCACGACTTCCGTATAACTGATGATATGCTTAATAATATTATGTTTTATTCTACGGGAACTGAATCCGCTAGCCAGTAGTCCGATGTCATCTTAGATTCATGATCCTCGGGATAAATATTATGCCTAATACCTAAATATAATAAATTTTAAACTGAGTTCATATGTCTCATGCCTAGTTGATTTTTTTCTATGATCTCAACGATATCCTCAATTATACCAAATAGTTGTGTTATATTTTTATATAATTGTGTGTGTGCTGACTGTCTGCACTATGTAACTCTGAAGTCTGGATACTTAGGTATTTTGATTAATTTTAAGAAATTTATTTTCACAGCAAGAGGATTGTCACATATTACATTGCAATGACTCCGACGCATGTAGGAGACATTAAAAATTCTGCTGCCGACGGATTGCCAGCAAAGTTTGTTCTGTCCATGAGAACACTGTTCGATATTTTGGACGATAAAAGGACTGGATATGTTAAATTTTCTGGTAAATTTCTTTTCCATTTGGTTTTTTTTTTAAGTGTAAAATTTTCATGTATTTTCATATTGCAGAAATTGAGACACGATGGCAAGATGATGGTACAAAAGGTTTGCCAAAAGGTGTGTTAGATAGTCTTCGAAAAGTTACACCACCGAACGGTCTACTGTCTTTTGACCGTTTTTGTACTGGTTTAAAAATGTGCCTACTTCGAAATCAAATGGAAAATGGTCGTCGAGATAATGATTCTATAAGACCTCCATCTGCTCCACTTTTGGATATAGACATTAAACCTAATGTTCAATGGACAAATGGAAATATGGCTGCCATTCGACCTACTCAGCAAAGAACTCTGAGTATGCCACAACTAGCTTTAGAGCGTAATAATAAGGAAGTACATCAGTTACCACAAAAATCCACATCATCATCACTTTTTGGACCACCAAAACCCCCCAGAACTGCTGCAGGCTTAGAACGAGGCTTACAGCTTGCTTCTGGTGAACGTATTATCGATAAGGCTGAGATTAGAACAGCCTTGCAAAATTGGCAATTAGGAGTGCTATTAAATGATCAGAGCAGTTCTAGAAGTGAAAAACAATCAGGTACTTTGTTAAATCTGTGAAAATTCAAACTAACTTATATTTCAAGTAGCTACATAACCATAGGTAATAGATTAAAACCTAACAATTTTAATTTATTTCTAGGAGAACAAACATATAAAAGAATTAATCAACGACGAAGGGAACCAAGACGACATACTCTCCAAAGTGGTGTTGATTATAATATGGTGTTTATATTTAATTAAAATTATATTTATTAGTTGAATTTCAGCCGCTAAAATAAAATATTATTTTTCTTCTATTTTTCTATTCAGCTAAAAAGAATAAAGCAAATAGAACAGGAAAAAGAAGTCCTCATGCATGGTCTTCAAGCGGTGGAAAGGGCAAGAGAYTGGTACCATAAACAAATATCTGCTGTACAAGACAAAATGAAATACCTTGGACGAACAAATTCACATACAGTTAGTTAAACATAACACTTATAAATCATCGATATATTTTATCTTTTATTTTGCGTGATACTTCATAAAATTGTTTTTATAATCATTAAAGCAGGACCAATGGACTGAAGCACAACAGGAGCGTATTGAGTTACAAAGGGCTCGAGTCTTGGAAGTCAATAGACACTTGTCTGCATTAACAGATGGTGGTGAAAGATGGGGTGGTCTACCATTGCAYATGAACTTAGCTGTRCATTCATCAAATAATCCTGGAACAATGTTACATCAAAATCCTCAAGTAATGGCTACATTAAAACATCGTAACCATATACTCACTGAGGTTGGTTTTTATTAAATATTTATTTAAAAATTTTTTATTATAATATTTGGTTTTTTTAGGAATTAGGACAAAAAAGTGAAAGAATATCAACATTGGAAAGAGAAAAGGCGACGCTTATCAGAGAATTATTTCAAACACGAACCCAGATGGGACGTAAACTAGGGAGATTAGATAGTAAACCTGATGGTCAGTCATATATACCTTAATAATTGAAATCTGTTACCAAGTACAATAAAAGATGTACTGAAAGAAACATGGTGCTTGAATGTATCAGAATAAAGAAAAAGATACCATTATTTTTGAGMTCAATTTAACAGGTACATATTATATTATAATCTTTCTCCTGTGTCATGACAATACAAATGTTATTGCAATGATTGCCAACCATACCTCAAATTTATCCATGTTAAATGTTATTTTTAATTAATATAACCTCAACTTTTTCTCATTTAATGCATAACAATTTTTAATAAAATATTGCTTATTGGATGAATTTTATAAAAAAATCTAACTGTACTTATAGAAACAATCATGGTTTAAAACTAGGTACAGCTATATAGATTTATTTATAGAGAAGTTTTGTGTCTTGTTATAAAGTATATATATTAAATTTGTTTTTAATTAATAATTTACTCAACTTGTTAAACATGTTAGACTGCCATACAAGTGTAGTAATTTTCATAATATTTTTAACGTAAGTTTCCGTCCACCTCTCTGTGATGCCAATATTATTCTGATTTTATACTGGAAATTTTTTTAAGTTTAATTATTGTTGTTAAATTTTTAATATTAATTATAAAATAAAATAACCTAAAATTTGTTTAAATAATTTTGTGCCATAATGTACAATATTGAGTAACCTGATGTAAAATATATATTATTATATTATTATTATTATTATAGTTTTGGGATATGGCAATTATTATGTTATTACTTATATAAAAATTGATAATATTTTACAATATGTTGATGTATTTTTTATGAATTTTTTACATTAAATGTTTTGAATTTATGAACAATGTTAAATTTGTATTTTTGAAAAATAAAATGATAATAAATTGTCGAATATAAGATGTTTTTTTATTTGTGTTGTAATGTACTAACATACAAAGTGGAATCTTAATCTGTATTCTATGATCTTAATAACTCGAAATACTGTTAGTCGTRTTTTCAATAACTCATATAAATTTCTGCTCCCTACATTTCAATAAGTTCAAAATAGTTTTTTCTATAACTCTTATTCTTGATCGCTAGAATTGTTTTTTTGTCCCTAACCGATTCAAAATATTGAGGTTTCTCTGTACTTCAATAATTACATACTTTTATCTAATAATCAATTATATTATTTCTTATTTAATGTATATTATTATATGTACATATTATTATCAATAGAACTCAGTTATTACAAATTATGGAATGTGAATGAAAATAAAATATTCTGATTTTTTTCCCCATGCTACCTATTAAGTATTAGGTATTTAAATTGAGTTTGAAAAATAAAATTTTAATAGTATTTTACTGTTTTAGTTATACTCAGAATTAGAATTGGTTGAACAGTTACCACATATTTTAAGATTTTATATTTCTAAACTTTAAAATATGCTAAATACTATTGTTTAAATATAGGGGATTTTTAAAAAATGATCTTACTCTACATTAATGAAATAAAAATTAAGTTATTATTTAAATTTTATCTCGATTTTAACATTTCTTACAAACTTTTGTTTTCTAACCTATATTTGCTTTCTTCACTATAAATGCATTAAACACAAATTATAAGAGTAAAAACACCCAATGTATTATCAAGGTTTTTTAGCTGTATTTATAAAACCTATTTATTGACAATTACATACAAAAAAATGATTTGTCATGGAATATTAATAATTTTTTCCACACAGAGATAAAAAATAACTGATTTTTCAATATGCCAATTCGCCCCAATGTAAAACTAAGCATAAAATAAATATAGCAATAATTGAATTTGCTCATCCAGTGATGCTGTATTGCTATTGRTTATAGCTAGTAGGAATTAGCCAAAAGTAGTTTATGAATTTAATAATAAATATTAGTGAATTATGCGCATAAAATACAAAATATATGAAAATTCAAAATATGCAAAATAAACTCATTAAAAAAGTGCTTGGTAACGTACAATTCTTGAAAAAAGTGTTGTAAGGTAATATTAAATACTATGCTAAGATATTAACATCGAATATAAACAAATGAATATTATGAAAAAATAATTATAAAATTACATAATATATTATCATGTTTATTATTTTTGAAGAATTTATGTAAAATAAATTTTATATTAGTATATCATATTATTCAATTATTATTAAAAAATCAACTATATTTTTCCCCTAAATGGCTAAATACCTTTGCAATAAAATTCTTAAATAATGGTTAGCTGAACTAACTTCTCAAACATGATGAACAAATCATTAAGTACCTATTAATCAATTTTAATGTCTTTAATAAAATTTGCATTTACCTATTTTCAATTTAAAATCAAATATATTGATATTATGCTCAATCATTAAATTCATACACCACTTCACCAGTGCCTCTGCTAATAAATAATAATAATATAGATATGTGTGTAGTACAGATGTAACCATAGTAACCATTTAACATAATGTATTGACTGTTTTACATGATTAAAGTTTAAAGGGATGATAACAATACTCACAGAAGTAATGCTACAGCCAGTTAGCAAAAGTTGTAAAAAAGACTATTGTGATACAGACTTATGATTATGGTGACTATAGATCAATTTTGTAAATTTTTTAAAATTATTAGAAAAAAGAGTTTTACAGAAATAATATTGTGTTTGTTTCTGTTGGTTTTAATACCAGCATACTATTTTGTCGATGTTTTTCATATATTACCATGTATGTATCATCTACCGTCAGGGTCAATTTGGTATTTAACTCATGTGCTGCCACTAACGTTTATGGTTTTCAACCTGCTGACAAATTTTTTAGCTGTGATGTATGCTGATTCATCAGTAATTGGTCGATTACTTACTGTGTCGGAATACACATCGAAAGGTATACAATATTAATATATAAAAAAAGTAAATTCTAAATAATAATATTAAATTATACTTTTTCAGACAATATTATGTACTGTTCTGTATGCCAATGCAATGTTCCTCTAAGGTGTTGGCACTGTGATATATGCAATGTCTGCATATTGACAAGAGATCATCATTGTACTTTCAGTACGACATGTGTTGGTCATTATAATAGACGATACTTTTTATGGTTTTTGCTGTATTTATCTGCAGCCAGTTTTTATGAGATAATTTTGATTGGTTATTATACATATTGTCAAGTTACAATTAAATTTTCAGACTTGATGGTTTTAGTGCCATTTCAATCAGTTATAACTGGCTTTCATTTAACTGTAGGTCAAATTTTTGTAGTTTTACTGACGTTGAATCTTATAGCTGTAACAATGTCATCATTGTTGTTAATTTATCACCTAGATAAGGTACGAAAAGGTCTCGTATGCCATGAAAAACAAGAGAGAAATTATGATTTAGGCTTAATGCGAAATTTGGAAACTGTCTTTGGTGAAAAATGGTATATAACATGGATTTCCCCATTCATCAAATCAAAATTACCCTACAATGGAATAGATTGGCAAAGCCATGTTGATCAATATAAAAAAAAATAGATCAATTTCTATTGGTATAACTTTGAAATACCTAATAAAATAAAAAAAATTAAGCAATCTGTGATATACAAGTGTCTAGACTATAGTACAATTTTAAGTTTTAGCTTTAATAGATGAGTGTATGCTTTAAATTATGTCTGCACAATTAATAATTGTAGAATTGTTAAATATGTATGATGGAAATTGAACAAATATACTTACTGAATGTTTAACTGCAAGTATSTTGTTTATTAAAATTGTTTTTATTTAATTAACTTTTCAGCTATTATTGACCATAATTAAGAAATGATATAGTCATGTAAACATAATCCAACTATTTTAGCTATTACTTATTTATGAAAAATAATTATACGCTAATGTATAATGAGGATAATTAAAGGAAAGGTGTAGTAAAAAAACAATACATCTCAACATATGTGTCAACAATATTGATATACTTTACTGTGTACAAAAACTCCTGTTAAGGATTAAAATCGTTAAAACAATGATGTACAAATATCACTAAGTTTCAATTATGAACTATTTGACCAGAATATATAGATGCATTATTTGACTGTACATAAATTAGGTAACATTTTAATAATATTTTTCAAATAAACTAAAAATTAAAAAATAAATAATAATAATACACAAAATCTTTGGTATACAAATAAGTTTATGATTTCCCGATAATGAGTTCATTAAACTAAAGTTGGTTAAAAGCAATCTTATATTATGTAATAATTATTACATTAATTTAATTAACACTGGAATAAAAATTAATTAAAACACAATTTTAATTTTAATTTTTAAAGTCTGATTTAGGAAACCGGAAATCTTAAAGAGTTCTTTAAGATTTATTATGTTTATCAATAAATATTATTAGCACATATTTTATTATWAGAGATTGTGTTGATTAATCAAATAAAATTTCAATTATTCTATGTATGTTGTTAATCAAAAATATGTGATCTGGTTAATGTAATAATGAATATGTATATGGATTAAAAAGATAAAAATAGTATATTTATATTAGTATAATATGATAAATACTATTTTCTATGACCAAAAACTTTTAAATAATGGTGGAGGTGGATAATTTTATTATAATATAGAAAACTTAACTCAAAATAATTTGAAGCCTTCAATTTTAATACTTTGATGTAAAAAACACTAGAAAAATAATTGAGTTCTATCATAATTAAACCAAATCTATTTTACTCTGTTGAGGTTTTATCAGGTCACATTTAGTATAAAAATTTGATTACATGAAAATTGTTGACGAAAGGTTAGAATTATTAAATAAAGTTCATATAGAAATGACAAAATAATTGTTGTGATGACATATCATCACCATCTACACTTARATCACAGACTATTTTTGAAAAATGTTTAAGCAGCTGCTTTACAACTAATATATTAATATTAAATACATATACTAAAATCATTTTTGCCTAAGAGTACATCAATTTGATATGCATACACAATGTTTATAATAAAAAAACTGTGTACCCATTACCTAGTGCAGTGATGTATGCAAGATAAATTTATCAATTATGTGAACCTAACTATTCATTAACAACCTTGTTAACTATGCAGTACACATAAAGTACAAAAAATGATAAATAATAACATAATTAAACCAGAAAAAATGATGATTTTCCATAAAGTATTAAAATAAAAAAAATAAAATGCTTATATATATATATATTGTTAACAAATAATTAAGATTATTGCTTATGGTAAATAAAAAAAATGGTATGTTGTAGAACAAACTTTAAACATGAGCGTTAACCATAAGATCTATAGAAAATATTATGATAAAAATTAGAAGAATTTCTATTTTTATGGTAGATTAATTGAGAAAATTATATAAACATACTACTTCAACATAAAATATTATAACAGAAATTATTTCATTAAATGCTTATTGTTCAATATTACATAGTAGTATCTACTATTTAATTATTATTAATACTTAAAATGATTTAAAGTTTATATTATAAACCTTCCAAATACTATATTTATGGAATCTTAATTATTTTCATGGTAATACTTAATATTTTTTAGATTGTAAGTTTAGAAAAAACCCCAATTTAACTAATAGAAATAAATATTAACGAAAATACTCTTAGGTAAGTAAATTAGTGAATTAAATGAGTTTCTATCATACAATTTTAACAATATATAGTTATAAGTTTTGGAATGTTAAATAAACCATGTCACAAAATAATACATTCAGAATACTATGTTTATAAATTATACTGTCATCAAATAATGAATATTTGGTCATGATTGACAAGTACAAAATCAGTAAAAGCATTAATAGGGCCAATCGCAGCTAAAGATAACTGACTATTTGGACTGCGTACTAAATTTGGACCAAATACAACTGCTAAATTAGACGAAGTCATTTTATTCAGGTCACATCTATCCATTACCTAAAACAAAACCCAAGAATTAAACTCAATGAATTTTTTGAATATATAATTTATGGATTGAAAACAGGTGCAACTTTTTTATGTTTCCTGATTTTTTTTTATGTTCTGAGGTAAATATTTAAACAATACACTTGTTTCAAATCTGTTGTGACTTCTTAGCATAAATAAATTTTGTATAATATATTTTATGCATAAAAAAAATTATATGAGTAATTAAAGCATATGTATATTATATGGGTAGATAAACAATAGGAAACACTTACTTTTGATAAAAATTGAATAAGGTATTTGAGTAAATGGTAATTATCAAGAGGTAGTTTCTCCAATATCAAAATTTTCACTTGCCTAGGACGTTCATCTTTTGGAAGTGCTAATAATTAAAAGTATATTTTATTTATGAAAAATCTTTATAGAATAAAAATAAAACTCAAAATTTTATCAATTTGATAATAATAAGATCTTACTTTGAAATTGTGTAATCTCATCAAACAAATCAAATGTCATTAAAGGTTCTTCAAGTTCTCGCAAAAAAGTTTTCAACAAAACAGCTGCAAGATGCACATCATTCCCAAAGTCCACAGGTTCTCCTAAATTGATACGATTCTGTAAATCTCTTAAATGATTGATGTTTGCAGATCTTCTGAATAATCCTTCAGTTTCTAAGGCTGCATAATAAAGAAATATAATATTAATATCTAAGCCAATATTTATTTTATACATTTTTTTTTGAAATTACCATCTGGTAGACTTAGGTACTCAACACACTTGCGTACTAATGGAGGAATTATTTCTCCATCATTGTTTGCTTTTATGAACTGCAAAGAAACGCCAAATTGTTGAGTTGGTAATGGTTCAGATTTTTGTTCAGTTTCCTGTTCAACTGGTGAAACTTTTCTTTTATTTAATTTTTTCATTAATTGTTCATCATGACTGAAAAATAAACGTTTAATAGGATAACAATATTTTTTGTTAAAAATAATTACTCTAAAACTGGTGCTGGAATAATCAATTGATCCAAATCCATGAAAAGTTTCAATTCTTGTAAATGGTTAACATACATAATTTTTCGGCCAAACTTCGCACTAAAAATTAAATAGATCCTTGTTATTTTTAGTTTAATAGACACAAATTACTTTCTTAAAACTCACCTAATTACAGCTCTAAAAAGTTGCCAAACAACTTTGATAAAACCAGTTGGATGTACTAGATACAGAGCCTTTAAGTTTTTTTTATACTTTCTATCAAATGCTCGGTATGCTTGCCATAACCATGATAGTGTAGGCTTATTTTTACTTGTCAGCCCATAATGAAAATAGACCAAGCTGTAGTCTTGTTCTACAAATTTGTCCAAAGTGTACATTAAATACCTATTATTAATCAATAAAAATAAATAGTTAATAATTAAACGAATAATGTCTAACTAGTATTTAAAGTATGTTTAATAGYACATAATATATTAATTTGATTTATTAAGAGCTTTCATTAAATCTAATAAAAATATTATACCTGAGAAGTCTTGGATGATCAACTTCTTTATTGCTGGGTAGTTTGCAAGCTGAGACGACAATAATTTTACGGCCAACTGCATCATCACCAACTACATCAACAACACCACATTCAGCAACATCGCTAAAGTCTTCTTCTTCTTTAGACTAAAAAAAAACAAATCAAATTCGGTAATTAAATATTAATGTATGGTTAATTAATTAAATACAACTTATTACAAATAAAAATTTAATATATAAATATAATTATAATTATAAATTATAATCAAACATACATCATCTGCTTCCAACTCATCTAACAAATTCCCTGTTGCTGTATTATGTATAGACGTTAAGCCTTCAACTTGAGGAGCATTTACTAGTTCTTCTTCAAAATTTTCTTCAATAGTACCATCAGAAACAGGCGATTCCATGTAATCTAATGTTCCAACAGTCCCATTTACATTAGCTAAACTTTTCTCCAAATCTGTTAAAAATAATAATAATAATAGTAATACAATTTTTATAAAAATAATAAAATCCCTAGTTTTAAAATAATTTGAATTATTAGAAATCACTAGAGAGCTTATACAATAAATAAAATTTACCAATATCTGCAGTTGGACTTTGAAGTTCAGTATCATCAAATTCTAAATTTGGCTCATAGTCATGGTAATCAGAAAGACTTGGATATGGTTCTTCATTATCAGCCATTGCAACTAAAATATTAACAAATAAAGAATTTAATAAAATGATTGTCAATGAATTGCTATATTTATTTATAAAGACTTGTACACTTTCAGAGTTAAAAGTAGTCACCTACATTTGTATTATAATTATATCCTACATCACAATATAAGAAACACGGGAAAAAAATACATAGGTACAGCATTATTAAAGAATTTTGTTAATGTAGATTTTATTTAATTGATTGAACAGTGTATTTACTGAAAATATATTTTTTTAATAAAAGCCTTATATTATATTTTATATGATAAAATAATCTGTAAATACATAATAAAGCACATTAAGTAATTAGGAATTATTATATGATTGAGAAAGAAACCCATTTGAACACAATATAATATTCATTCAATTTTACAATAGTTAATCATGATGCTAGTTGTGTTTAAGCAATACGGTTGTTAGGAGCTTTGTTAAATATTTAACCTTGTATGCAAGTTGAACACATATTTTTAATAAGGTAATGTAAATTTGATTTAAGTTATAAATATGTTTAATRAAATAAATAATTATTTAAAAAAGTACCATCCTGAAATGTATTTGCTCATTTTAATTTATACTAATAAACTATAAGAATAATATGCTATTAATGAAGTCCATAAATTTAGTATCACATGTGTCAATGTGTCTAGAGCAAAGAGTTATATGTGAGTGAACTGTCCAATTACTGTGAATAAGATAATTAAATATCAACTTATAATAATAACACTACCTATAATAKTTTTGTTTATAGTTGTGTTCCGTTTAAAATAATTTTTATGGTAAAATGTTATGAATAATAAATAACTATAATATTAGAGAAAAATTGTACCAACATAAGTGTAGAAAATGTTGAGATAAATATTTAGATACTTATTTTGATTAAACATTTTTTTTCAAAGTGATAGCTTTTAAGGTACACTTAAGTAAAAGTTTATGCTATACCATACTTTATGCATGTGGGTACATCAATATTTTTTTTTACTAATAATTTTATAGAACCTATTATAATTGTATTTTAAACAAAATACGAATATTTATGTTTATAAAATGCAGGTTTGTAAGTCAAAGAACTATTCATATGATTATGAATAAAACATGATAATTATATATCTATCTATTTAATATTGATCAATAACATGATACCTAGGAAACTTTGTAATTTAGTGCATGGATTAAATTATATCATCAATTTATTGATAAGTAGCATGTGGGCAATTCATATTTTTGGTTATTAACACTAACAGTAAATTACACATTAGTTTTATAACAGGTATAATTAAACAATCATGCCGAGTCGCATTTGCATAAACAATCACTTAACATTTAACCTATCAAAAGTGAGCATATAGGCCCTAACGCATGATTTAGTATCCTATGATTGGTTCATTAAATTTTATTTAACCATTTAATTTATAAATTTTTCATGCAACCTGACATAAACTTAAATTAACATCACAAATAAAAGAATATCASCACCTATGATTTACCCCTAAACTCTGCTGAACATTTGGTGTCTACCATTAACTAAGAGCAAACAATGTATTTACATCATACATCATATCTTTTAACACTTACCCGGGAAATACTTGCCGGAAGGCTGCACCCTGGGATCCATGTTGGACCGGTAATAATGGAGTGACGGGTGCCAGATGTACGAATTGAYGAGATCGCGGGGGCAACACTAGCTACCTCAGCAATGGTTACCTCATTCCATCAGCATTCTCGAAAGCTGCGGGCGGAACGACGACGAAACACATGCACACACGATTCAATGAAGATCGAACATCGACAATAAAAACATGAAGTGTCGTTTTGTTAGCGCAGTCGCCACCACTATGTGTTAAACAGTAGTTACCGTATCGATACTCGACTATTCGTGTTGTCCTGGTGTAAAATTCTTTGAACCAGCAAGAAAAGTTTGATACGGTGGATAGGTGTAGGCGGTGAGGACAACGTTTGATGGCTATCGGACATCGGCCCTAATATTTGACTCGCGGCGAAAAATAAATAGAACGGATGTGAACATTAAACAACAACAATTATCATGATAATTTTGGTAAACATACCACATAGGTACCGCAAATTGCAACGACTATAAAGATAAGTAAAGACAGCAGAGAAAAATAGAGACAGACTAGTAACTTACTAACTTCAGACTACAACAGACGGATGGAGCGATTCAGCGATTGCGATTTACCATTACGCAGATATAATAATATGTAATGTAAACACTGAACACCTGTTTTCCGCCATGGCAGTGTCCGTTGCTGATAATAGCTACCCCCTCCTCGGTGATCATTGACGACCTCAAGAACTTACTATAATAACTGTGATAACAAACTGATTACAGACGTGATAGTGGAAAAGAAAGGCGACACGTCATAAACATAATATCAAGAATCTGTCAAGTAGAAATATTCATCATGCATTCATGCATCAACATTTAACAGTCAGCTAACCAGTAACCACTAGTGGCGACTGGCGAATGCCTTAACTTTTAAGTATCATTATATTGTATTCTATTGTTAAAACTTAGGATTACGGACGGTGGTTGTTATGCCGGAAATGTATAAGGAAAAWCACCAAAATAAACGATAAGAAGTTATTGGTAAGAAGCATTCACAAGTTCGTATCGTTCACCCACAACTAGCTTACTTGAGTTTTACAGATTTAAGTATTATGTTATCTTGTATGATAGTTATGTTATACAAGTGTAAATAAGATTCATAAACTTTATCTGCAATATGCCGTCTTTTTAATTTCTGTTTTCCCTTCAACTGTTAGTATATCTTGTTSAATATTTTGTAAACATTTTTTCTCTTAACCATGAGTATGAAACATTTAACAAACAAAACTCCAAGAATTCTTCAAGAACTTATGACCCAACAGGATAATTCGGTAAGAACTACATTAATTAGTTATWAATATAAATTTATTAATTTAAATTTKTTGTAGAAATGTTTTGAGTGTGGTTCTCATAATCCACAATGGGCTTCTGTMTCATATGGTATATGGATTTGTTTRATGTGTTCAGGAAAACACAGAGGTCTTGGGGTTCATTTGTCATTTGTCAGATCCATCACCATGGATTCTTGGAAGGATTTGGAATTGGAAAAAATGAGGGTATGTATATTTTAACAATATTTGAATAAGATAGTTATAGTATGTCCATTGTAAGCATACATTTATCTAAATTAAAACAAAAGTACTAAAAAACATTACTTTTACTATTYAGGTCGGAGGAAATAGAAATGCTATAGAATTTTTCAAATCTCAGCCTGATTGGAGTGATTCAATGACTATTGAACAAAAATATAATACAAAAGCTGCAGCACTGTATCGAGATAAGGTTAATAGTATTCATTAGGTATTTGATTTATTGTACATTTATCATTAATTAATATTGTTCTTCTTTTTAGATTTTAAATTTAGCTAAAGGGGAACAATGGAGCYCTACTACATCATCAGCTAAAGATTATAATGTAGATCATATGAAAATGTAATTACAATTTGGTGAACTATAACTTATAATGRTACATAGGTAATACTCAATATATTCTTATTTTTGTTAGGAAGGGTAACCAATCACATAAGTATGATTTTAATGAACCATCAACTAATTATAATGAATTGAATTCTGGCTATCAAAATGATGTTATCAGTCCAAATATTAAAGATGAGAAAGAAGCATTTTTTGCTAGAAAACAATATGAAAACATGACAAAACCTAGGTAAGGGACTGTATGTTTAATTGCTTTCTATAAATGCCCTAAAACAATAAATGACAAGTATTATTATATGTATATGTATGACAAATAAAATATTCTCTGTTTATTGCCATATTTTTTTTTTTTTTACATAATAAAGTTTTTATGATTTTCTCACTCAGTAATGTCCCTCCAAACCAAGGCGGGCGTTATTCTGGATTTGGTAATACAGTTGAACAGCCTCCTAGAAGTCAATCTCAAGATCTTCTTGATTCTGCAGTTTCGTCATTTTCTAGTGTAAGTTATATACACCACTTTAAAATGTATCATTTTCCATAGAAAGTTTTTACAAATATTAATGTTTTAATTATATTTTTACGGTCAAAATTTAGTGTATTAATCAAATTTAGAATTAAAAGCTATAATGTCATGACTCATATAACTAATCAACATGCCACACTTCTTATCTATATATTAAAAACTACTATACAACAACTATTTACCATTATTTTCATTAAATAATAACAATAATTGAATAATTCTGATTTTCTTATGTTAATAATATTGGTAATTGTCTTATATTTTTGGTAAGGGATTCAATCAATTTGTTTTAAGTGAATAATATGTTAGAAGTGTCAATGTGATAGTTTTTATTCTTTTTAATAATTAATAATATTTTATCTATGAAGTTCAAAAAAAAAATCATTATTGCAGGGGTGGTCTTTATTTTCCTCATCTGCATCAAAACTAGCCTCTCAAGCCACACAAAGTGCCATTAAAATAGGCGGCCTAGCCACTCAAAAGGTATCAGATATAACCACTGACATAAGCTCAAAGGTAAGTTGCATGCTATTGTTTCTTTAGTATGCATTTTTATCCATTTTATTTTCATCTGATTGTATTTTAAAATACAAAGAATATTTTTATTAGATATTATTATAGAACATATTTTATAATTATATGGCACTAGTTAATATTGTGTATTATATATTTTATGAGTGTTTTTTGTGTTATTATTATTATTATTATTATTATTATTATTATTATATAATTTAAATTATTATATAATTCAATTATTAGTCGTAGTATATATTCTGTTTTATGATTTATGTTATGCTTGTTTGTATCTGTATTGTTAGATAAAAGAAGGTACATTAATTGATGACGTATCCACTCAATTTTCTTCTATGTCTACAAAGGTAAAGTATTATTTTTATTACAATTTCAAATTAGGATTTAATAATTTTTTTAATTTTGTATTTCCTTATTGTWATTTAATTCATAATTTAGGTAAACGAGCTAGGCCGTAAAGAATGGCAAAATATTACTGGCAGTAATATTCCTACACCGCCAAAATCACATTCAACTAATTTTGTAGCACATTCCACTGAGAACTCATCTTTAATTTCTGATGGTTCATCTGGAAATCAAAAGTATGAATATTAATTATTTTATTTATTTACATGCACTAAGTATCAAATAATGTWCAAAGTAGATTCTTCTTATGTCAAATGTTGAAACTATCATTACACTAAACTACAATCAAAATAAACTCGAAATGTCAAACTTGTTCTGTTTCAATTRAGATACAGCATGATAAGAATTTAGTATACTTGATTTCATGAGAGAAGATGTTGATTCTGCAAAACTGKTGCCCCTATGGTTATTCCAGGGTGTTGCATGGAGATAACTCTCTCTTGCAACAGAGTATATATTATTTAAGAGAACACCACACCCATATAGTTTATGTACATATTATAAACACAACTTTTTTAGTTTTTTTTTTTACTAATATTAGATATGAGTCAATGGAATCATTACAGATATATAGACAAGAACATTATCTGTGTCAATACAATAGATTTTAAAGCAAGTTATGTTTGTAAAAGATGTTGGTAGTATAAAATGAACATAATTCATTGAAAAATCTATTAATTGTATTCAACGACCGTCTCATACTAAAGTRGAGGTGTATATCCCAATTACTTCTGTCCAAAAGACCTAGTATGTGAGACTAGTTTAAAATGTATACTYGTAGAGTCACATATGACCTGTGTTTAAAATGTATTAAAAGTAAAGTGTTAGACTGAACAAATTGCTGGATAGTACTTATTTAAGGTAGTTGTTCCATATGATAAATAGTTCACACCGCCACTGATTGTTATTAATCCAACTTAAAAACTGATAATGTWMTWAACATAATGGCTGTCGGGGCAAAGTTGGTATTTCCAAACATTTTGCTGACATGAAATACTATTATGCACAAAGCTACAAGAGCTATCATAACTATAATATAACTTAATAAATCTTGAAATGAGCACTTTAAATTTGCCCTAAAAGTATAGAAAATAGCAACATCAAATTAATTTCCAGACTATTATTTTAAATTATTATTTACTTGTATTTAAGCATTTTATTATAAAATATGTATAATGTGTATAAATAGTTTTACTTCAACAAAATTTTCATATCCTTAAAATTTTTATTTTATTTCTATTGATTAGTAGAAATTAGATGTATAGTTTCTTTTCAATATACATCTTTTAAATTATATACTCAATACACATAAAGCAATGACATTCRTCTCAATTGTCAATGTTAGCTATAAAGACATCAAGGATAACACATTTCACMTTTATTCATATAAATATATAATATAACTATATGCAAAATGTGTATTTATTTGTAACAGAAACATTCAGCGTAAAAATAGCTGGACATCTTGGGATGTTAATAATACTCAAGCAAACTCATCCTCAGATCAAACAACTGAGAAATATCAACCAATTCAAGATGATTGGAATAACAAATGGGATAATAACTGGTAGATCTGCATCAAAATTGTAATTACATTTTTATTTTTAAATAATGATTTAAAGATATAATATTTATTAATGTTATTTTTAATTCCAAACATACAATTTTCTTCATTAAAAAATAAATAAATGTCATCTAGCAAATTATAATATAATATGTATTATTTATATTACTTTATTTGTGCTGGGTTGCACAACATTTTGATAA